CAAAAAAAAAAAAAAAAAAAAGATGCACAGGCAGAGGTTGACACCACCTGTCAATCACTGGTTTTGGTCACCATGTGAATACAGTCAAGAAACCATCATAGTCCAAGTTTAACAATATTAAGGAATTATTAGTGATTCTTTAGTGCAAAAATGGTATCAGAGTTGTTTTTAAAAGTCTTTATCAGCCGGTCACAGTAACTCACACCTGTAATCCCAGCACTTTGGGAGGCAGAGGCTAGATGACTGCCTGAGTCCAGGGGTTCAAGACCAGCCTGGGCAACTTGGCAAGACCCTGTCTCTACAATCAATCAAAAAATTAGCTGGGCGTGGTAGTGCATGCCTGTGGTTCCAGTTACTTGGAAGGCTGAGGTGGAAGGCTCTCCTGAGCCAGCAGATCGAGGCTGCAGTGGCCATGAGTGTGCTACTGCACTCCAGCCTGGGTGACAGAGTGATACTCGGACTCAAAAAATAAAATAAAATGCCTTTATCTTCTAGAGATACAAACTTATGTATTTATAGATCATTTCTAGATTAAATTTATGATGTGATGGATTTGCTTCAAAACAATCTGGGGATTTGGGAGAGGGTAGGGAAGCCATGGATGAAACAAGGACTGGCCATGTGTTGATGATGGAAACTGATGATGAGGACATGAGGGTTCACTCCATTCTTCTCTTTATTTTTGTGTGCTCGAAAAAATTCCGTTATATAATTTTTAACCAGAAAAGAGAGCATCATACCAAGTTAGTAAAACAACTTTAGTTCAACCCACATTATATCAGGAGAATAGACAGTGGCCCTTAAACACCCACAGGACATTTCTGTTGGCAGCAAAGACGTAACTAGTTGGCTCAAATACTAGGCCTCAGCCCTCCGTAGAAACAAGCACTGGAGTCTCCCCTGCAGGAAACAGAGCACATGAGAGAGACAGACAGCTCACCTCTCTCAAGGCCGTCAATATTCTGTGTGTAGAGTCGCAGAAGCAGTCCCTTGTCATGGAGCAGTCGGAGGAAGTAGTGAATAACGTTGGGCCTGTAGTTCCCAGGGTACAGCTCCTTGGCCAAAGTGAAAAAAGGCTTGGGGTTGTGAAAGAAAAATGAGAGTTCAAAAATGGCCTCGGGGTACGGGATGTCGTACCGCTGGAGGTTGCTGTAGAGACCGCTTCCCGGAGACCTGCAGACAGAGAAGGAACAGAGTCTCGAGCACTCCGAAAGAGGGGGAAGGTTCAGAAGACAGGGCCACACGGCAGTCGGTGGCAGCTGGAGGGAGCACCTGAAGTCTGGAATGCCGCTGGGCGTGCTGATGCCAGCCCCCACCATGACCACCACCCGCTGGCAGACTCTGGCCTGGATCAGCGCAGCTATGTCTTCCAGGGAAAGCTTCCCCTCCTCACTGTTGCCTCCGCCTCTAGTCACGCTTGAAGTACTCATAGAAGAAAATATGGGCCTTCTTCCACCTGTAATACTGAAGGGAAAAGAACGGAGGCAAAGGTAACCGATGACAAGCTCGTGCTAGCAAGAATGAGCATGGCTCTGCCCCTTCACACCAGCCCCACCATCCAGAATGACCACACATTCTCCCCAGTCCTCCCAAAGTAGCCATCCTTGTCAGACAATGATTGGGCTACAACAGAAAGCAGTCCCAAATCAGAAACCAAGACTTACTTGGGAGCAAAAACTTCAGGTTAATGGGAACTACGTTCATTTAATAATTCAGTGCACTTTAAACCTCCAAAGGGGTTTTCTTTTTTTTTCTGAGTCAGAGTCTCACTGCATCGCCCAGGCTGGAGTGCACCCTCACAGCCACCGCAGCCTCAACCTGCTGGGCTCAGGTGATCCTTCCACCTCAGTTTTCCAGGTAGCTGGAACTACAGGTGGATGCCACCACGCCCGGCTAGTGTTTTATCGTAGAGATGAGGTCTCGCCATGTTGCGCAGGCTGGTCTCAAACCCCTGGGCTCAGGTAATCCTCTCGCCTCGGCCTCCCAAAGTGCTGGGATGACAGGCTTGAGCCATTGTGCCCAGCCCAAAGGGGTTTTCTCATAAAAACTGGTCAAGTAGTCAGGAAGAAAAGAGGGAAAGCCCTGGCTCCAGAACTACCCCACCACCTATTAAGTGCCCCACTTCATTTAGGACATCGATTCACTTAAGGCCCTTACCCAAACAGTAGTTACTAAGTGCCTACCAAACTCGAGTGAGCCGTTATGAGAAGCACAGAGGAATGAGAGGAAAGCTATTGCAATTGCTGAGTGCCTGCTGAGTGCAAGGTATTACAGAGGCCACAGAACATGCATCATCTGCATGAGCAAGATGTTTACAAGTCACTGAAAAACAGAGAGCTCTAGCAAATGCCTGGAATGTACTCAGGGTGTGGCGACACAGAGTATATGAGTTGCAGTGTGAGATTTACTGGGAGTAGGGAGACTGAGGGACAGGTGTGGGGGCTGCCTGGAAGAGACATTGTGCAAAGGAACACGAAGAGCCCCAAAATCTAAAGTCGAGGGGCAGAAATTCCAAACTGCAGGAAGCCTGGGCAATGGACCGCTCCTCACAGGCAACCCTAGGCTTCCCGTTTTTAGGACGAGTGGCAGCAAGGACTTGCTGGAGTCAGGGCAGTCTAGCAGGGGCAGTCTAGCAGATGACCTAGGAAGCCCTCGTCCTGGTCCCGGCTCCACGGGCAGACCCAGAGCAGAGTCTGGCCCGAGTCAGAGCTCAGCAACGGTTTCTGGGGTGAGGGGCTGACTCCTTAGGGTCTCTCCATTAAACTCTCCCCAGAGAGTTTCAGTAGCTGTGCCAGCAGCGTCACGTGAACGCACCATTCCTCACTTAAACACTCTCCCGTGATAAGGCATCGGGTTCCCCACAACCGCGGGCCTTACGGTTTTCCCACTCGTAGGCTCAGTTCCCCGAGGTGATCCCTGTGCAGAAGGGTATGATCGTATGCTGGTGGGAGAGTTAACTGCACGACCTTCATGGGGGCAACGAAATGTCGACGCATGTACTTTTAGACCCAGCCGTCCCCGTTCTAGGAACGTATGCAAAGAGCGAGGTGCAGACAAGGTCACTCACCCCAGCACCGTCTGCAATAACTAAAGATTAGAAGCGATTATCGATTAGGCAGCGGTAACAGAGCGGACTTCGACACGTCAGCAAGACAGAGGCCGGCAAGGTGCACTGAAAAGGAAGCAAAATCGGCCAGGAAGGGCGCGGAGGGGACGAAGGGCGGG